TCTACAACATGAGTTCTAGATTTCTGCCCCTCTTGGCCCTATTCAAGTTGTGTGAGAGGAGCCTGAAAGAGGAATCAAAGAGCTTGGGAGAGAGTGATGCCCATCTTCTTAAAGACAGCAGTAGGATGTCCCTTCCCAAGTCATCCCTGGATGTGCAATTCTGAAGAAATTAGTTGGGATTTGGCTTTAGAGGGCCTTGAAATAAAATGCAAAAGGGCAGGGAAAGTTGAAGGGCTAATCACATTTTGCACATTGGCTTAAGAGTAAGCTATCTAAATCCTTGTGAATCTTGTATGAGGTCTGAGCTTGTGACTAAAACTCAATAGTTATTCTTGTGGATAATCTGTGATAGAACCTTGAAAGTCTTGTTAGATTTCTCAGTGGCTTTGGATATCATCAGTCATGGTCTCTTTCTGGACTGCCTGCAAATGTTAGATATTAGACTGTTTTATAGTGTTTCTGCTCCTTCCTAACTGCAAAACTGGTTTTGGGAACCAGTGGCTTATGTGCTCCAAAATGAACTTAGATTGGAATATGACTAGAATCAATGCACCTAGAAAGCCACAGAATTATCTATTGGCGTTTATGTTCAGACTATTCTTTCACTAGCCCAAATGTATTAGATTACAATTTTAACACCCCGGAGCATATGGAACAATCCAGTCTGGTGAATACCAGTTATCTGAACATTCCTCATCTCCATTTCTGGATATGAGACAGAATCTCTGCAAGAGCAGAAGTGCTGCAACAAGATCAGGTCTTAATTCTGTTGCCACCTTGGAACATTATCTTATACACATGTTTATTCTTAATGCTTACTTACAGAAAATACATGTATCTTCTCCCTCTCCTCACCATTTAACCTTAAGTGTTTTGAGTATTTGGAAATAGAAAACCACAGAAATACAATACAAGTTTGTTATTCCTAGTGCTAGAAAAGCAGATGGGATGGTAGTCTATATACTGAGTGATATTTATTAACCAATATATAGAAAAATGATCATGAGGTTGATTTGAAAAGAAAAATAAGTATTTTTTTTAAAAAAATCTCATAGCAAATAAATAAGCAACAATTAAACATACTGTTTGTGGCTAACGTACAAATAATCAGCCATAGTCAGTACAACAAGCTATTAAACAAGAATTGATTAATTTCAACAATACAGCCAGTAAATCAATTAAGAGCAAAATGCACTGTCATGGAAAACATCCTATTTCAACCCATGAATTTCAACTTCCTGTAGCAAAGATTTGAAAATATCAGGTAGGGATCCTTTTCTTAAGATGTTTCTCAGGCACACAAATTCCAGTGACTTCCCCTAATCCTACCTATCTCCACTTCTTAAGTAATTCTAGTTCCAGCCAAAAGGAGGGGAGATATAGCTTATACTCCTTGTTTTATGAACAATGCACTGTCCAAGTGTTTGTGGTAGAATTTTTAAAAAGGTACATGTAAGAAGTAATAACATTCAAACATGCATGAAGACTTGTTGAGATAAAACTTTAGAATATCTAGAAATTGTAATTTTTCATTTGGAATGTGTTCTACATTCTTATTGCTTGAAATCATCATCATCATCATCATCATCATCATCATCTATTCCAACCGCCTGCTCAGGCAAGAATCCCTATACCATTTTGGACAAATGGCTGTCCAGTCTCTTCTTAAAAACCTCCAGTGTTGGAGCATTCACTGCTTCTGGAGGCAGGTTGTTCCACTGGTTAATTGTTCTAACTGTCAGGAAGTTTCTCCTTAGTTCTAGGTTGCTTCTCTCCTTGATCAGTTTCCATCCGTTGCTTCTCGTCCTGCCTTCAGGCGCCTTGGAAAATAGCTTGACTCCCTCTTCTTTGTGGCAGCCCCTGAGATATTGGAACACTGCTATCATGTCCCCCCCTCGTCCTTCTCTTCATTAAACTAGACATACCCAATTCCAGCAGCCATTCCTTATATGCTTTAGCCTCCAGTCCCCTAATCATCTTTGTTGCTCTTCTCTGTACTCTTTCTAGAGTCTCAACATCTTTTTTACATCGCGGTGACCAAAACTGGATGCAGTATTCCAAGTGTGGCCTTACCAAGGCATTGTAAAGTGATATTAACACTTTACATGATCTTGATTCTATCCCTCTGTTAATGCAGCCTAGCACTGTGTTGGCCTTTTGGGCAGCTGCAGCACACTGCTGGCTCATATTTAGGTGATTGTCCACTAGGACTCCGAGGGGGTTTTAAACTCTGGGGGTTTTAAAAATATAACATGTAACAAAATATATTCTTCTCTACATTGAAGATACAGAATTGAGCAAACTCAAGATATCATCATGAAGCAGCTTTTGCATATAGATAGTCCTCGACTTACAACAGTTTGTTTAGTGATGGTTCGAAGTTACAACGGCATTGAAAAAAAGTGACTTATGACCATTTTTCACACCTGCCATTATCACAGCATATCCATGGTCATCTAATCAAAATTCAGACGCTTGGCAACAGACTCATATTTATGACGGTCGCAGTGTCCTGGAGTCATGTGATCACCTTTTGTGACCTTCTGACAAGCCAAGTCAATGAGAGAGCCAGATTAACTTAACAACTGTGTTACTAATTTAACAACTACAGTGATTCATTTAATAAATGTGGCAAGAAATGTAGTAAAAGGGGGCTAAATTCATTTAATAAGTGTTTCGCTTAGCAACAGAAATTTCAGGCTCAATTGTGGTCGTAAGTCGAGAATTACCTGTACTATCCTTTCTAGTTTCAGGTTTTTCCCCTCCCCACATTTAGGGCTGCTTTTTTAGCAAGGTATAATATTTGACTGAGACCCAATTTGGTGTCGTGGTTAAGACATCAGGCTAGAAACTGGCAGACTATGAGTTCTAGTCCCACCTCAGGCACAAAGCCAGCTGGGTAAATTTGTGTCAGTCACTTTCTCTCAGTCTAGCAAAGAGGCAATGGCAAACCACTTCTGAAATCTTGCAGTCACCAGGAGTCAACACTGATTTGAAGGCACCAAAAAAAAGGCCATCTGATTATAACTTTTAAAATGTGTTTGATTGTATTACTTCTGCCGTATGTAAAAGAGAAGGATCTGCAATAAAATTATCCTAGCATTACTTTAAAATTAAAAATGAAACATTCCTAAGCAACAGTTGTAACTCTTTTTAAATCTGAAAATGTATTCTATTTAATTTTATTCAGTTAAGCATTTATTTTAGCAAACCATATTCAATGCATAAAAACATGCAAAACAGGAGAAATATCTATTTACTGCATAACCATTTAGAAAGAACAGCTGAGTAGATGGCAGCAATACAGAGAAAGGAAGCAATATGCAGAAGGGCTATGCATATTAAAGGCCACTCAACTTGTATTACAGGAAGGAATTCATTACAAAGGAGCAGTGTAGATTAGATATACAGGGAGAAACTTCCTAATATGAGCAACGGTAACAATACTGCTGCCAAAGTGTGGTAGTTCTCTCAAGCTGCTAAATTTGTACAGAAAAAAATCAGACTATAGAATCTACTAAATACAATTCAGAAAGTACCAATATCAGTGTTGTGAGATTTAAAGTGTTCCTGATATCTCTGTGGATCCTTTTCCATATATATGTATCATTAGGTTTGGTTTTAAATTAGCCTCAATTACTGTCCTGAAACTTATCCACTAGTATTTCAAGTATATTACACATAGCCCCACTAGGATTATATGAATGAGGACCAGCACACATATATCTTATATAAACTGATCATATTCGTGTTTTCTGTTCTTAAACCTGTCATGATCAATGTGACCTCTTCTTTGAATTCTTGCAGAAGATGGAGACCTTAATGTCAAATAAAATGTGTCATCACACTGTCAGAAATAATTCTGCGTACAGAGTTTGATATGACAAACTTCTGTATGAAGTATATGTGCAACTCCATGGATTGAGATCACCATGATGCATAGGTAATAATGCTTAATCAATTTATATGTACAAGATGTCATGACCAAGATGCTTTTGGTCTGATTCAGTTGTACAATAATGTGGCAATTGCAATTTTTTTAATGTTGCATTGGTAAAGATTTCAACCATCTTTAACATCCAGTAATTTAGTGATGCTATAGAAATAAAATTTGTTACGGGCTCATATACAAGTCAGTTCAATTCCATATACAATGCATCTTTATATATAGCTAGGGTTCTCTGCAGATTAAATAGAAACTGAAACTGCAATTCCTCATTTTTGCACTAGCATACTGTAATTACCACACTCCTATAAATGTATCTAAATATGCTGGCCTAGTATATATTCACATTTATTTTAATTATTTATTTGCTGCCTATCTTGTATCAAAACCACTCTGGGTGGCTTACAGCATTAAAACATTAAAATACCAAAAGATAAATATTTTTAAAACAATACTGTAAATTGTTATCAGTTTAGGTAGGCTAATTCAGGGACAGAAAACAACAGGTGACTGTGATGGTGAGCGATGCCTTCTATCAACTGAAGCAAATTTATCACTTTCACTGTTTCTTGAACAGTACTGACCAAACACTGTGATCCATACTATGGTTACCTCATAAGGGAAGCCTCTGAAAGGAACTTGGAAGCTGTAGTAGGTACAGGATGCAGTGGTCAGGCTTTTGATAGGTATTCCTTACTGAAGCCAGTGACATCAAGGGCTAAAAGCTGTTCACCAAATCAAATTCAGAGTGATTGTTGTAATACAGAAATCCCCACACAATTCAGGACTTGTTTATCTATCCTACATTACAAACAAGGAGCTCCACTCATCAACTAAGGTCTATGGGGTGATGGTCAGGAAATCAGCTGGGTCCAAGACCTAATCTGTGGGAGCTGCAATGCTATCAAATTCTCTCTCTGATTAATGGCCTTTGCCATTCTGCACACTTCCATGGCAATTTGAAAGCTTATTTTTATAACCTGGCATTTCCTTTCTCTGGGCTGCTTTATATCAGGCAAGAATGGTCGTTTTAATATTGTGGTATAAGTTTTTATTGTTAATTATTGTTGCAAATCAAGGCAGGCATTGCTGGAAATGTACAGGTACAAATTTGATAATAAAGAAGTTCATGGTTCAGAATTTTTTTTAAAAATGCTATACATTTATCATTTCATATCATCATGTCATATACAGAAAAGAATCAGGATTTCTCTTTAAAAGCCCTGAGCAGTAGGTCTGCAGCTAGCCCAGGAGATAGGATCCCATCAACAACCTTGTCTTCTAGGAGAGGAATTTGATCCTTCACTTCTGAGTGATGGCGGAAATGGTCCAGCATGCTTTCTTGGATTACATTCCACATCCACACTTTTTGCTGCCTCCTGCGTTTGGCAAGCAACTCACCACTTGTAAGCATGAGCTCTTGGAATTCTGTCATCTTATCCCATACATCCGAAATGCCTTCTCCAGTTTTGGCAGAGATGCGCATTACCTATTAAGATTGAGAAGATAACTCTACTTACCAAGCAATGTCATCACCTTTGGAGATGATGTGGAGAGAATTTTCCTGATCCAAATTAATGCTATGAAGGGGCAATTATTTATTAAAAATTTGACTTGGCCACAGAGTGCAATGCTAACCAAAGAACAATTCATACTAAATATCAGGGCTGTACAAAAAAATTAGAATTAAATTGTGGAACTGAAAAATTTGTTCTGAGTTTGGAATTCAGTCCATTATTTTAAATTTAAAGTGGGCTGTTCTGAGCAGTTTGGAGGTGTTTAAAGAAGCCATTTCAGAACACTAACAAATGGGAATGTCTATAGCTCAGGATTAACATAGGGAGTCCTCAGTGCTCTCTGAGCTTGCTTGTTTTCTTGCAGACGTTTCATTACCCAAACTAGGTAACATCATCAGTGCTAGTCAAAATAGGACACACTGAATTAGAAATATCTAAAATATGTAATGTTAATAGAATAACTGATACATATTCTGGTATCTGTACATAGTTTATCCATTTATGTCCAGGTTTAACTCAAGATGTTGATTTTTCAAGGTAAGCCCCACTTGGGTTATACAATTACTGTCATATAACTGCAATTTTATATACTTATCCTCTTTTGGCTTTAGCCCACTATATAGGTGGAATATTATGTTTGCTGCCTTGTTACTTATAAAGTAACAAAGGTTAGATGAAAATCTAATAAATAAATATGTTTGAGATTCATTTTAATAAGTATATCTAGAACTGCAATATAAATTAATAAAATCCTTGAAGTTCATATTGTTTGTTCCCATGCCTTATTTAATCTGACTTTTTAGAAACTGACATGTTCCTTTGTTTGAATGGTCTGTTATTGCTCCTGATTTTAAGCTTGCCTATTTTATAGTTTTATATGTACATATTTTATAGTTTTGCATAATCTTAAGAGTTTAATATAAAAGTTAACATTACAGTTAAGACACTTTGAAAAAAAGACATCACTGTAATTAGATATACTAAAATATTAACACCAAGAGTTTAAATAATTTTTTATATTAAGAGAAAACAGTTGCTGTTAGAAGTATACAGATAAATTATATTCTCAGGAGAAAAACCTTTATATGCAGGTGTGTATGTCCCAACTTAACACTTCTCTCAAGCATAAAATAGTAAAATAATTAATTTCCCATGGGACAAATAGCATTTGGGTTATTTTAGTTTTATCATGAACTTCCTCGGGGGAGATATACAGTATACAAATCATCACATTTGATAAGTATATCAAAGGACAAATATAAATACTTGTGGTAATTATTTATATATTTTCTAAATTATTTTAATGTACTAACCTTTGGTCTCCAAACTTTTGAGCGCTTATGAAGCAATTTTAAAGCACTGACGTATTCTGCTTGAATCCTCCGTGCTGGCACAATGAGGTCTCCATCTGCTTTGGTTATAACAACAAGATCTGCCATCTCAATAATACCTCGTTTAATACCCTGAAAAATAAAAATGAGACTTAGTAACCAGAAAATACTTTTAAAAGGAACTCTTCATTTTTATATAGAGTTTAAAAAGAAATTAATTTCTTTTTAATTAGTTTAATTAATGTCTTACCTTCTGTAGGGGAAATACAAATTGTGAAATGGTTTATCTAATACATAAAAAACATACTGCATATTCTGATTTACAAGATTTCAAAAGAAAAAACTAATGTTACCCTTTGAAAACTGTATCAGAACTGAATATAAAGCTTGTTCTGCACTTAAATAACTCAGATGCATTTCTAAAAATCAGAATTAGTACTGCTAATCCTCACATGGTATATTTATTTCAAATATTTTAGATTATCTATCTAAGCAAGTGTCCGAACAAATATATTAATAAAAATATGAAGTACAGAAAACTGCTAAGAACTGTTTAATATGCTAAACACTGTATTTAAAAGCATACTACTGTACTCCTTTTTTATTTTTGTTCTTGTTTTTTCTTTCTTTCTAATTACCTATTATACTGTATTTTATTATTACACTGGGAGCCACGTGGAGTCGCCTGGAATCAAGCAATATTTGAGTAATTCAAATTAAATTATGTAAAACGAAGAATTAAACATTTATTATTAAAGGCATTGTTTTCACGGCATATAGAATTAAAAACCCAACAAAATTATTAGCATTATAAATAATGAACAATTGCCCACTTAAAGTTCTACACTCCTGGGGAATGCACAATGGTGAAAATGACAAATTCCTGATTTAAAACTAGCAAGACTTGGTAAAACTGACCGCTATATTTTGCTTATCATTTCTGGTAAGCCAGCTTGGTATAAGCCATTACCAAATAGCTCTTACAGGTTAGGCAAGAATTTCTCAACCTTGGCAATTTTAAAATGTGTGGACTTCAACTCTCAGAATTTCCCAGCCAGCATGGGAAACCTGGGGGTTGTTCATCTTAGATTTTCATCAAATGCAACATCAGTACCTGTAACTCATCACCTCCTGCTGGTGGCAGCAGCAATACAAACATATCCACCATATCAGCAACTGCAAACTCTGACTGACCTACTCCTGAGAAGGAAAAACAGAAGTTGAGTGTTAAGGTTAAACATTTAAATTGCAAATAGGGAGACTTTCTCCTTGAAGAGACCCGCATGCTGACCGAAAAGTATCCTGAGGGCTGATGAAAAACTATTGGTACTTTGTGCCTGCTTCTAATAGCATATTACTATAGAGTTGCTGATTTAAATTGCACAAGAAACTTCAACACCTTCCTTGTTCAACCACTTCAGCACAGATAAATAGTATTTTTGGCCACGCTTGTATTTTTGCAATTTCTGAGGGCTGCAAGCATATTGGTCAAGGGCAGGGGTAGGCAACCTTGGCTCTTTTATGACTCATGGACTTCAACTCCCAGAATTCCTGAGCCTACGCCCTGAGTCCGCAAGGAGAAGGGCGGGATATAAATTCGAATAATAAATAAATAAATAAATAAAAGGGCCTATGTTTTTATTCTGTAGTTATTACATTGAAAAACTTGATAAACTAACCTTACTAATAATTATCCCATGTACATTAGTCTCCCTCCCCCTCCCCAAGACAGCCCATATGCTGTGGTGGTTAAGATATTGGACAAGAAGAGGGGAGATCCAGATTCAAGTCCTTCTTAAGGCACAGAAGCCAGCTGGTGACCCTGGGCCAGTCATTCCCTATAAGCTCAAATCAGCACTAGACTGTTACAAGCCAGTTGAAACACACCCACACAAACGTGTCAGAATGTCATGATAGTTTTGCTATGAGAACTATGGTGGGACATATGGCACATATGGTGGGGAAAAAGGTAGAACCTCAACAAGAACAACATTGTATGTTTTTTTTAATAAGCATTTTTAAAAAAATCTATTTTATTTGCTGATTTTTTCATGGTGTAATTTGGAAGACTACAGTGGCCACAGAAATGGTTGAAGGAACACATACTACCTATGGGTTACCCACCTTGACTTACAGAGCATGATAGCTAAAACTGACAAGGAATTTCACTTACCTACTGTTTCGACAAGAACAATATCATAACCTCCTCCTTCACACAGCAAAATGGCTTCATTTGTAGTCCGCGTTACGCCACCCAATGTTCCTCTGGTTGGAGATGGTCTGATATAAGCATTCAGGTCTCTTGACAACTCAGGCATTCGTGTTTTATCACCCAAGAGTGAGCCTTAAGCATTACATAAAGACCAGCCATTCAAATAAAATAGGCTTTTGCCCAAAACTACAGAGGCTTATTATTCCAAAACAACTAAGCTATAATATGGCTATCTGTGAAGGGAGAAAATAATAAAACATACACTGTGCTGCAACCTCCACCTCTTTTGTACTTCCATCATGATGTCATACACTAGTACAAAAGGGTAGAGTTTGTCTTTTGATGTCACAATACACATTTTCTTTTCTTTTCTTTTTTGCAGCTTGTTGTGGAAATCCCTTGCAGATAAAAGTTCTTGGACAAGAAGTATTTAAGATGTTTTCACCAATACAGAAAAAATATCTACTAAATTTTAAGTATTTTTCCACTACCTTATCCTAATTAATATAGTTGAATGAACTTTATCAGAAAAACATGTAATTTCAGAAGAGAACTTAATGCAATTCCTTTTATAATGTTTATTAATAATAGTAGCCAGTACAATACTGTTGAAGAATCTTGTGTCTATCTTCAGGAAAGACACTTCAACTGAGCTTTTAAAATATACTTTTAAAATATAATTATATTTTCAATAAAAATAATGGAACTATCTGATTTTATTAAAAATTACTCCATTAAATACATACTGCCTGTAACAAATCCTATATTCATTATAAAAAGAATGAAAGACAAATAGTGCTTTTGCCAACATACTCACCACCGGTAGTACTAGAGGAAGGATCTACTGCCAGGACAGATACTTTGTGTCTTCTTTCAGTCAGCATTTTCCCAAAACATTCAATGAATGTTGATTTACCAGCACCAGGAGGGCCAGATAATCCTAAATGGCAGCAACACATCAATATCTATTTGAATTCACATTGGGTTAGAAAAACAATGAGCAGACTGATACATTTCAGGTATGCAGGCAACATATTTGCTACCAACATTTTAAGCAAAACGCTTTTTCCAAAGTTACACATGTATTTATAATTTGTCAATTTATGTATATCTGACATCCTTTATGTAGCCTAGGATTTTTTTTTCCAATTCCCCCCCCCCCCCGACTCTACACTGAATAGGGATTAAAGAGTCATAAAAAGGGAGTTATTATTGTCAAACATCCTCCTCCATGAACAAAAGGATTGTGGTGAATTATTGTCTCAGCAAGGTAGGGCTGAGAGGCAATAAAGCCACCAGAGGAGAAGGGGCTGGCCTTTCATTGTTCCTTTCAGCATTTTGGATTTTTCATTACTGGATACTCAACTCACTTAGTTTTCTTCATATCTTAAAAATAAAGAGTAACACCCCTCCGTTGTTGTTTGGTAATTTGTTGCCAGGTTTTCATGTGGAAGGGGGTACCAGAGATGGCAAAGCAGAAGCTAAGAGCTAATCCATCCCACGAATAAAAACTGAATTCACGGATTGAAGTCAAGGAGTCATATTTTCAAAATAAATCTGACATGATTTTTTTTTCTATCTAGAAACATATTATGTAGAAGTAGGTTTTATAGAAATGATAACAAAGTTTTCTGGAATTAAAGGAAACCAATCAGCAGTTAGCTAAGCAGTCCCACACAGACTTCCTTTCAGAGAAAGAAGGCAGTTCAGAGGGAGCAATTTTAGAAGCATTTGAAAGTATGTCTCGAGATGACATTCTACCTAGCTACTAGAGGCAACGTCTGAGAGGCAAACTTCACAACTTCAGCAATACAATAGTATCAAACTTACATCATATAATAATCAACTTTGTAAACTTTAGCGTTAAATAAACTGTTATCATAGCAATAGGCAAATAAGGATACTTTGAATCAGAATAGCAATAACTGCACAAACAAGAAAAAACTGACCCACTCTAAAGGCTAGTGGCTTTCCTTTATTTAACCGTTCTTGTTCGCGGTGGTGGGATAATACCTTCTGAAGGAGAACTTGGGCAATTTCCTTTTTCCTCTTATGTGTTGACTCTATGAGAGTAATGGCTTCTGCCAGACAGGCCCTGTGTCCTTGGATCAGTCCAGTGTACAGTTTGTTTAGAAGTCTTTGCTCCTTGTCAGAGAGCTCAGGTGTTTGCTGTTCTGCTGCTGCTGGACACCCCAGCCCAGATTTCAACTCCTTTGAAAACATCCTCCTCCATGAACAAAAGGATTGTGGTGAATTAACTCGCTGGCCGTATGGAAAAGTAAACCCACTGCTAGATTTCCAGCAGAAAGTTTTCCAAGAAGGCTTCCTAACATTCTTAAGAAGCTGGTAGAGAGGAAACTGCAGCAACGTTGATGTTTTATTCATTTTGTTTTAAGCCAGGCAAGCCTGTTTTTAAACAGCCTAGTAACAAAACAAAAAAAAGATATTTTTTTCACATTTTCTTTCCTTAATTCTACCACCATCACGACTTTGTGAAGTAGTCAGTGATTAATTTGAATTTTCATAATTAAGAGTAAGCTTTAGCCTCAGTCTCTCCAGTTCTACTTCAACCAGAAGGCAAACACTCGAAGTCTCTTTGTAGCATAGGTCTCCATTAACTGCTTTTACTCTTTTCATCAAAACACAATCCTTGGATTTGAAATCCTTAAAATCAGCCTGAGGGTTTTCCAAACAATGTGGATTTCTAAAATGTTAATATTTAAGTTGAAATTTTGTTTGAAACAGGGCTTTAGAAAGAAGAAAATTAATACAATTCTATATTTGTCTATGGAGATTCTCAGTCATCCAGGTCATGGTTGTTCCAAAGGTGCTTTTTTAAAAGACAACTTGACTTTTTTATTTATTTTCAAGGACAAACCAAATCCCATTGCCTTTTGAGAAAGCACCTTTGGGACAATTCTATATTATTACCTACATATAAAATGATCAACATCTTCTGTTAAAAATATTGTATGTCCTTATACCTGTTCATTTGAATCTTATATTGAAAAATTAGCCACCTCACCAGTCCTAACTATTTTCAGTACTTTGTCACTATGGTTCAGTGTGATTATGTTCCACATGCATATTCCTATGAATGGTCTACTACACTCTGATGCTTTCCAGATACACAGGCTTTAAACTGCAGGATTCATAGCCAGCAATACTGGTTGACCATGCTGTCTAGGAAATCAAAGACATGATTGCAGTCATACATCTAGAACACGGGTGTCAAACTCGCCACGTCAGGTGACGTGTCGTGATGTATTGGAACTCTTTTTGCATTGCCAGCAATGGGGTGGGTGCGGCTTCAGTATGATGAAACCGGCCCACAGGCCGGCAGTTTGACACCCCTGATCTAGAAGAACTCAGAAACAGAAATGTAAAAACCAAATAATGTTCAGATACTCTGTTTTTTGATAATTAAATTTCTATAAGGAATCAAGATTACTCTGCATATAAAGGCACAGTAAGCCCAAAGCATTCTCTATCAGAAAATATTGTGGTCTAAAATACTTATTTAGAAGATATTCTAAATAACAATGGAACATATATTTGAATAAATGTTATGATGAATATTGAAAAGATAATATGTAAATATGTAAGTAAACATTTATCAACTAACCAAGCATGTAACAATGTTATGTTACAGAATACATTAAGAGTGTAACATTTAATAACTAAACTTCAGACATAAAATTAGATTACTTGAAATTTAGCTACATAGGCCTAAACCTAAATACACACATTTTTTTTAAAAAAAAATTACAACTGAACATGCAGTTCTAGAAAGAGACTCAAATTTATATATTGGCATACATTTTTTTTTCTAATCTGGATGTCAATACTGCAATTCTAATGAGTTGGAACAAAGTAGGATTGGAGCATTCCTTTAAAGCAGTGTTTCTCAACCTTGACAATTTTAAGGCATGTGGACTTCAACTCCCAGAATTCCACAGCCAGCAATGCTGGCTGTGGAATTCTGGGAGTTGAAGTCCACATGCCTTAAAATTGTCAAGGTTGAGAAACACTGCTTTAAAGAGCATAAGGAAAACACTGCAGAATGAATGAATCCTAAAATATTTTTAATTGATATTCATATTTTAATTTAAATAAATGCTACAGTTCACCATCATCACTCATCACAGCTTAATTCTATTTTGGAGATAAATATTTGGGAGATTTCTACATAGGTGGACTATGTCAGACAACTGTGCGAACCCACAAGTAACTGCATTCACATATCATAGTAAACCACAAAGGAGCAAACGCATTGTAACTTAACATTAGATATGAGAACCCATTCCAAAATCAATCTTAGGAGCAATGCTGCATTAAAGTCCAAGTAGCGTTCCCTTAATATTGTACATTTGACCTCGGCCAAATTTATTTCCTTCTCAAGCATAAGAAAACAACTAAAGGCTGTTCTCCATTATTCACACGGAACAAGGATCGTTACTGCCCGGCACTACAACCAAAGCACCTGAATCTTAGGCAGACAATCTCTTTACGGACACATGCATACACTAGATAAGACACAACCTTGTCTCGAGTGTCACATCCACGCAAAGTTCACCCGATTCCTCCACCTGCTAGCAATCATTAGGCTGCGCCTGCGTGACTGCCTGGGAGATGGAGGGCGGCGCAGCATTTACGCAAGCGCAAGCAAACTCTTCACTCTCATTGGCGTTTGCGGCGGGCTATGAGGAAGTCTTAGAGGACAGTTCTTTTGTTTGCGGACCACACTTCCCGGGCCAAGAATGCGTGTTTGGGTCTCTTATGCTTACTCTTTAACCACTCCTTAGAAGGAGAGTAATTCACGACCAGGGAAACTTCCGGTTCCCAATAATTGAGCGTGTATCGGTGGGTGAGTGATGGGGAATTAAAAGAACCTAACTGACAGACCTTTTTCGCTTGGGGAAACTTGCAGTAATGTCTGGACCCGATTATTCCGAGATTAAGCAGTTTGGCCATAATTAGCATTTATCTGAGAAACTATCCGAGAACAGCATAGTATAATGAGACTGGAAAGTCATTTTTTTTTTAAAAAAAAATCCCCAACCTATTGAAAAATGAGAAGCAGAAGCCAGCCATTTGGAAGGCGGCCTTAGCAAAGCCTCTTTGCATCATTTCCCCAAATTGTACGGACGTTCCCCTAAATCACCAGAAGCGAAGCTCTATTCCAAGCAGGCGTGACTTGGATTCTTTGCATGCGTATCGGATACGCAGCGCTTCCTCGCTCTTGAAGAAATCCTGGTTTAGGATTGCTCCATCCTTCCTCCTCCCCCTCTGCAGCCAGCTGGAAGGGGGGGGGGAGCAGTTTTTGCGACTAGAGCAGGGGTAGGCAACCTTGGCTCTTCTATGATTCATGGACTTCAACTCCCAGAATTCCTGAGCCAGCCTAGCTGGCTCAGGAATTCTGGGAGTTGAAGTCCATGAATCATAGAAGAGCCAAGGTTGCCTACCCCTGGACTAGAGAGATAAGAATGATGGAGAAGACGAGTTAAACGGAAAGAGTATACGCAGAGACACATGCGGTATATAAATTTTAGGGCAAGATCCCTTTTTATTCTATCACCTTTCATTTCTTCCAAATCTTCAGTTTCCATATCTACCTAGCACTTGAACTGTACTATGCAGCTAGGACAGTGTTTCTCAACCTTGCCAATTTTAAGGCATGTGGACTTCAACTTCCAGAATTCCACAGCCAGCAATGCTGGCTGTGGAATTCTGGGAGTTGAAGTCCACATGCCTTAAAATTGGCAAGGTTGAGCAACACTGAGCTAGTACCTCAAACGTGCTTTTTCAAAAGGCAACTGGACTGGATTTGTTTTCTCCTAAGGAAGACGTTTCACTTCTTATCCAAGAAGCTTCATCGGTTCATATGTAACAGAGAATTTTGAGCATGCATTTTGGGTTTCTGCTTTGCAGTTTCTCTCCCAGCGGCAGATGTTAATGTATTTGCCTGGTACGTCAGCCATAGTTGATTCAAAAATTGTTTACTAAATAAATTTGAGGGGTCTTTGGTGCTTTGGGTTGTTTTCTTGCAGATGTTTTTTAACCAAACTAGGTAACATCAGTGCTAGTAAGGAGTGGGGTTTGCTCTTACTAGCACTGGTGATGTTTCCTAGTTTGGGTAATGAAACATCTACAAGAAAGCAACCAAGCTCAGAGTACCTAGGACCCCTCATTCAACCCTGAGCTACAAACATTCTACTTTATTTGCTCATTTGCCCAGATTTTCAAGGAACCATACATCAGATTTTAGTCTACCTTATTGTGTTAGCCTGAATGTTAAATTCCAAAGTCAAACATTGCTGTAAACCAGGTGTCCCTAAGCTTTTTGCAAACAACCTCCCCTTAATGTACACACACACCCTAAAAATCAATGCACAAATGAACAATGAAAACAATTCTATAATTTTGGCAAAGTGAATTCATTGTAACCAAGTACCTAAAAAGTTCTTCACACTCCCCTGGAAATCAGTCTTCATTTACCTCAGTTTGGAGAACCCTGTAAACCAGGGTTGGGGAACTGACTTTTTTGTGACTTGTGGATTTCAACTTCCAGAATTCCTGAGCCAGCCATGCTGGCTTTAAACAATGGTTTTGTTTTAATGTTTTCAATAATCCAGTCTTCCTCTTCCCAAATTTCAGCTCAAGAAACTTTATCCATATGCTGGAACAGCCTTCCTGATCTAGAAATCCATCACCTTGATCAAAAGTTATGTTGGTTTCTCAAATTGGCAAATGTCCGACTATGACATTTGCCTATTTGAGAAGTGTACCAGAAAATTAGTATGCTAAAGAAGACTTACCTTCACATGATTGATTGTAATTATTCCAACTTAATTCTTCTACATTTTGCTGAAGACAGGGCAGAAACCTACATCCCACATTTATAGGACCTTTTACTTTTGTTCTCATGTTTTAATACTTGCTCATGCTCATTTATGAAACATGTGCTATAAGGCATGATTTGGAAGCTAGAATGTCTAAGCCAAAATCATGTTATATACTTAAATTTGGTTTGTATATTATGAGAACATGGCCACTAAGGTTTGTCAGTAGTGGACTGATGGATTAATGCGTTGACATAGCCAACATGTTAAGCTAAATCACACGGAATTTGTTGATTTTTTTTTCAAAATAAGCACATGTTTGCAGTTTTACATCATTCCTTCTGTGTCCATACTTACATTAACGTATCTAAATAAGCCCACTAAATTTAGTCAACATAATCCACTTAATATTCTGCCTCTTATAACCAACATTTGTAGTTTTTCAATTTTATCCTGCAAATAGAAATGACTTAGGGTGCAATCCATCATGCTTGTACGTAGAACAAATAATTTAAAAAAATACTAGAGGGTTTTGTAGTTTTAATTAAATATCCTGCATTATTTACTTGATGCTGCTTAAAAGCAATTGACATTTTCACCAATAGAAGAGATAATCTTTGTACAATGAAAAGGCAGAACTTAGCCATTGTACTATTGTAGTAAGTACAGTAATGTTAAATGAAAATTGTAAATAGCAGAACTGATTCTTTTATCCCAAAGGAACAGTGATTACTGTGTTTTTCATGTGAATTAGCTGGGTTTCTTATGTTTATTTCATTATGCTTTTACTATTAAACCTCATGTCATTATAACAGCTCTTTCATGATACTGCAATTTTGCATGCATAACTACATTTAAGATTCTTCAGAGTTGTAGATTTTATATTTTAAAAAATGAACACTCAACCATTTTATTATTCCAGCAGCTTTTATAATTTTAAATGCAAACTACACTCATAACAGAACCAGATTTGAATGCGAACAATTACATTTCTCATTCTATTTAAAGATTTTGATTAGATGTAGATATTATGCAAAACCATTGCTTGTCTAGCAAACCATGTCTTGATAGGGCTTTATAAATTTAACAGAATCCTAAAAACACATTTGTAACTACTGTGTAACTTCTACTATCTCCATCCTTTTGGACTATAATTTTATTATTTATTTATTGGACTAACAAAATGTCAAAGCAGAAAGTAAAAGACAGTGAAAATTTGGGATGTTGTGAGCATGTTGTGGACATGTATGGCTGGTATGATGGACAAAATTAGTTACAAACCACCTGTTTACTATTTATTTAATTAAAAACATAAGGCCACCAGACTCATTGCAATTGTAGGAAACATGAAAAGCCTTTAAAAACATATAAGAACAACATGTCTGGAAAAGAATTCAGTCTTTAAGCCAGTGTTTCTCAACCTTGACAATTTTAAGGCATGTGGACTTCAACTCCCAGAATTCCACAGCCAGCAACGCTGGCTGTGGAATTCTGGGAGTTGAAGTCCACATGCCTTAAAATTGTCAAGGTTGAGAAACACTGCTTTAAGCAGAGCCATTTAATACCCAAGAGGCTCATCACCCACTCTAGATGGGGGGGGCACTCTGTTTTTAAGAGCTCTCTTGGCTGTACAGCTTTTTGGTAAGTGCCTTTTAAAATGTAAGGCCACAGTAGTACCACCAGACATCAAGATTATTCTTGAGGCTGTTTTTTGTTTTGCAGCATGCTAATGTCCCATTTGAGTCTTAAAAATGTAAAACTCTAAAAAACAAACAAACCAAAAAACAAAATTAAGTTGGGCATTAAAGCCTCTTGGATTCTCAAATTTACAAAAAGAGAATGGGGAAAAGTACCTTATTTGTTGCTTTGCCATGTACATACAAAGCATTTTGTTTCTTTGTACTTCCTACACAAAAATTTTCAACATATTATTGCTAACCAGTAGATTTAAATTACCTAGTTACAGCTTGTCCAGCATGGTACATCCCAAATTTATGGAGGCTCTTGGCTTATTTGCTGTGAATCTATGAAGTATAAATGTATAGAAATACCTGCAGTTGTTTCTATAGTATCCTGAACCCAGGAGGCATAATTTTAACAGGATAAGGTTACACAACATCGCAATGTATGCCCACAAACAGCTCCTTTCTCCCCCCGAAACTTTCTAACCCCATCTGATCTTCTACATTAAAAAGAATGTTTTAATTATAAACATTTCAACCTGGCACACTGCAAAGCCAATTGTTTGCTTCTACCATTATTTTTCCAATAATGCATCTGAGGTTCATAAGTATTTTAGACAACGAAAGAGATGGAGCCCAGAGCTCAGTTCTTTGTCGGGAAGTCTGCCCAGCTGATTGGAAAAATAAGCATAAGCAGGTGGAGAGTATACTGCTGTAAGGAGGCATAGATAATATTATGATAAATTTATTCCTTGTAATTAGGCATGTAACTCATGGTAATCATTTTTGGCTAATGTTCAAGGGAATACAGGTAGTCCTCCATTTACAACCACACAATTGAGCCCAACATTTATGTTGCTAAGTATGAAAAATTTGTTAAGTGAGTTTTGCCCTATTTTACAACTTTTCTTGCCACATTTGTTAAATGAATCACTGCAGTTGTTAAATTAGTAATACTGTTTTTATTGAATCTGGCTTTCCAATTGACTTTGCTTGTCAGAAGATCACAAAAGGGGATCACATGACCTCAGTACACTATAGCCGTCATAAGTATGAACCAGTTGTCAAGCATCCAAGTGTAAACCACATGAGCATGTGGATGCTGCAATGGTCATAAGTGTTAAAAATGGTCATAGGTCACTTTTTTCAGTGCTGTTTTAACTTCAAATGATCATTAAATAAACTGTGGTAAGTCAAGGACTACCTGTATATCATTTAGGTTGTCAGAATCAAAGGTCTCTCTTCCTTTCTTCCATCCACTCTTCCTCCCAACAATAAAAGACAGACCCTGTTATACCTGACCAGAAAAATATTCTATGGAAAGATTGCTTCTGGAAGGTTATAATTCAATTTGGCAATTGATTAAAAGAAGCCCAGTGGACAAAAGGAAGTCATTCTTAATAGAATGGGTCAGCTGCTAATATAATTGAAATTGCAATCTCTTGAAGTCTAAGAACCATTTCATAGGCATGAACAGTTAATCTTAAATGACAATCACCAATGTGTTTGGAGCCAATGGGTGGTAGAATGTGAACAATGGAATTAAAAATACAAAAGACTTGTAAGCAGCAGTTACAGACACTTAAAGTTTAACATATGAAGAATAGGCAATGACAATTCATAAACACAAGAACTGATAATAAGATTGTGTTAATGTGTTAGGCAAATTAACACCTGTAATGGGATAGGAAGGCCTTATCTCTATTCAAAGCCAAAAGAACAAACACAAATTGTAATTAAACTATTCCTGGCTAACAGCTCTTTTTGAAATTCTTGTATAAAGAATGGAAACTTTTAACAATCTTTAAAGTGTGAGTAAAATATGCCTTTTAGTCTAAGGACACCAGGTCCTTGAATCTTCAAGTAAAATATTGAAATGTACCTGACCAGCATCTAGAAAAATGGTTTTGAAATAAAATTGTGTCCATGGCTCTGAAAATATTGTAGTATCCTTCAAAATGCAACTTTAAAATGTTTGTGTAGATATGCTTTTCTTCATCACAGCTGTTGACTGATCTTGTCCAGAACTGGATTCTAAGGCCTGATAAGCATTTGGACAGGAGTCTCTGAGGTAATACCATAGACTAAACTGGAAAGGATTTTTTTAAAGCTACTAAAGCAATAGAAAGAGACTTTAAGAGAATTGTTGGAAGTCACCAGAATTTGAGTTTGATTCAAAGTAGATTTGAACTTTTTAATGCTTCTCTTTACAGCAGGGGTGTCAAACTCGCATATCGTGACTTTTTTCTCCCATTGCCAGCAATGAGGTGGGCACAGTTTCGCTATGATGCATCTGGCCAACGGGCTGGCAGTTTGACAGCCCTGCTTTACAGTTTTGAATCTAGCTACAATACCTTGTCTCCGATTACAATGATTTGCACGCTATGCCCTTTACTAAATAAAACAAAAATGAGTTTATACAACATATTACCCCCAAAACCAATTTATAAATAAAATGACCAGATGTAGATATTTAGCCAGAACCATACTTAACATGTTGTATAAACTAAGCATTCCTTATTTTTTTAGGGCAGTGAACATCAGACCATAATACCTAAGCTCATATGTGGTTATCTGTGATACTCTGATAACTATGGTGAATATAACGTAACATAAGCTTGGGCAAAACTGTAAATGGCTATTTTCCATTAAGTTCACAATATGAAACTGGACAAATTATTCAAATGTTAAGGATTCATAAAGGGAACTTTGAGTATCCATTCTTGCATGGTGATGATTTTGAAATCCTGAACAAACATTAACAACTCTCCATGTACCCACATTCATTTATCTCAAAACTGATAGGCTTTTTCACATTGATTATAAACAAAGTTGCAGAAGAGATTGTTTTAATCAAAGTAAGCAATGTTTATTTGAACTTCAATAAGGATGAACCCCCCCCTAAGTTTTGGAATTTAAAAAAAATACTGAAAACGTACTACAGCTTGAATGAATATAAAAACATTAGCAGAAAGAAAACAATTAAAATAGTAAAAAAAATAACCTTTTAGTTTGAAACACTTGAATAGGTTAAGTCCTCCCAACATAAGCTAATATCTGCTAAGTTGGTAAAACACAAACGTTTTACAAAATGAAAAAATTGCTTCTGTTATGTGAACTGCATAAAACCGCTCAATTTTTTAACGACTGTACAGTTTTGTCTTGAAATCTACAGACCGTGCAGTACACGACAAAAGCATTGACCCACCCTTTCTCTATGAAGCTGCAGATGGCAGAAATATTGGTTAATATTAAGATGAAGCCACTATTAAAAGTGAAATGCACACAAAAAGACTTGGTCTTGTTTTAACAAGCTATGTTTACAGTATAATTCTACCTGTCCTTCTCAGCTTCACTTCCCACCCACTTCCCGCATCTATCTAATTTCTTGTCCATCTCTAAATTCAAATTATACTGTACATACATTTAGGAGAGAGCATATGTAAAAATTCTTGCAGCAGTATGGTCAATACACAGTTTCAGAAGATTACACAGAAGCCTTTTTTCCCCAAGATAGCTACTATTACGGAGACTTTCAAATACCAATGCAAACTTTCCTTTGAGTATAACTGTCAATGTTGGGTATTCATTTCAGGACAAAGTACAATGAATGAGTCACATATGGTGATGTTGTCATGTGTCTGAGTAACGAAACACTTAAAAGGACTTTCAGGCATGTTTTCTCCTAAAAGCATTTATTAATGTTACAGCCACATCAGCACAGCTGATGTCCTAAGCTGTTTCACCTGTTTTGAGTACGGTAGTTCTGTGAGGGGTAGGGCAATCTCGGCAAAAGAGGGGATGAATTGACGATAAAAGCTGGCAAAACCCAGAAAACTCTGGAGCTGTCCATAGTTGGACGGTAGTTCTGTGAGGGGTAGGGCAATCTCGGCAAAAGAGGGGATGAATTGACGATAGTCCAGGTGAAACAGCTTAGTGAGTTAAATAAAACTGCTTGAGAACAGTATTCAATTGACATTAAGTTGGCCATCCCTAGCTTTTACAATCCCCCGCCTAAAGATTGGAAAGAGATTACTATTGTGAAAACTGAATTTTTTAAAATAACTTAGTAATTTAATAGGACCTTTCTTCCTGATCTAACAATTGGTCACAGATATCAAGTATAATAAAGGCTGCTGCCAGTTTTGCACATGTGTCTGACTCATACATCCTTCAAGTACATGCAAGGCTCACTAGATTCTGAAATTCAGAATTATTTTAAGAAACAGAAGAGATTGGGTTATGAGGAGAGCCCATCTGTGTAAGAACTTTATCCAGCCATTGAAGAGGACCATGCAAATGAATTTCAATCCAACATGGTGTGCTTGTGACATCTTGCCGGTGATATTCAGCTCCCCAACCCTAGGAAATAGAAAAGTTTTAATGTTAGCAGATGTGTCCCTAATATACATACCAGCATCTTAGTCCTATTAGCATCTTGATAATACAAAGGCAATTTTTATTTGTTTAGCATATGGTATCTACAGAGGTCATACAATCATTGATACCCAACACTAATAAAACACATTATACATTCAAACACAAATATAAGTTTTAATAAAGCATCAGCATATATACAGTATAGTATGTAGACAATACAATATATGAGATAAAATATTAAATTAAGGAAAAACCATAACAAAATCACCAAAATATAGTGCCATAGAGTTGCAATAGAATAGTTGTTATTATACAAAGACAGTAGGGAATACTAATAATTAGGCATTATCTTTATTTTTTAATTAATTAAAGTGTATTCCCATATTATACTCTTTGCGTGTCTATCAGTAGTGGATTTAAAGCATGGCTTGACAGAAAGCCATTTTCCAATTAACTCAGTACATATCACTGATGAGATTTGCAGTAAAAATTCCATTTCCACTTTCTGGGGAAAAATATACGTCAATGTACAAGTAGTGCTTGGTTTATGACCACAATTGAGTCCAAAATTTCTGTTGCTAAGTAAAACACTTGTTAAGTGAATTTTGCCCCATTTTACTTACTTTCTTGCTACAATTATTAAGTGAATCACTGCAGTTATTAAGTTAGTGACAGTTGTTAAGTGGCTTCCTCATTGACTTTGCATGTGAGAAGATCACAAAAGGTGATCACATGAGCCCAGGACACTGCAACCGTCATAAGTACATGCCAGTTGCCAAGCATCCAAATTTTGATCATTTTGATATAAACCTGACAAATAAATAAGTACCTATTTAATATCCATTTAATTATGCATCAATGGATAAGCTATTTCTGATAGGATATTATCTTCCAAAATTAAACTGCTAAATTTTGTAGTATCTTCAATAGGAGCATTACTCTCCAACTCCACAGGCTTTCCACTGGATGGCTAAGATTCCAACACTCAATTGATCTGAAATTCTGATTAAGATTCTACCTCAAAATAAGGTTTAATAATTATGTAAAGCATTCCCAAGAGATACTGGAATAAGCAAAACATCTTTCTTCAAAGCATTAAAGCAGCTGTATCCTTTAGAAGTCTCGTACATCTGCTTGGAGGGCTATTAGTGACTGCTGTCAGGACACTTCAGCTGCCACAACCAGCAATGCTTCCTTTCCCAAACACATTTAGTGCAGATCCAGATCACAGTTAAGTTTTAAGAAACTCTTTCTCTCTTTCTGTGTACATGCACACATGTGCAAGAAATTCTGTTCAGCTCTAAGTTTTTAGGCAAATAAATGCCTTTTTAAATTTTACTGTTTGGAGAGCAGGCAGTGAAGTGCTAGCAACTCAAGCCATTGTTCTTTTTGTTTCTCTGGCTCAAAAAGTCACTCGTTCATGAACAAAAATGGAAAACCTTGCTTACCTTTACAAAACTCATACGAATAGTGCACATCTTAGTGAGTTCATACACAGTTTCAAAACCATGGTTCACTGACTGAGCTAAAAGTTGAGCGAATTCTTGATTGTTGAAAATTTTTAAGCTGCAGCCACTCGGAATTTTGCAGACGGTAGTTGGATGAAAGCCATGATGGTAATTGCAATTTCGACTTTGCACAAATATACTACTGTCACTAAGGCACTCTGCATAGACTTCTCCGCCAACATAATACAAATGAACTCCTAGAAAAGAGACAGAAGATTGTTAGATTTTCTCTGAAATTGTAGAAACGTCTACTTGTGGCACAAAATAGAATTGAGGAATTGCATATACTCAATCAACTTAGCAGCTGCGTAGAGAAAATAAGGTTTTAGTCATCTGGGTATACTCTTACACCTAAGTATTTCCCCAATTAATGAACAATAGGGATACTTCTAGATATTTGTTTTGGCAGCCTAAAACTATCAAAATATAAGAATTCATGAATTCACATTCATCAATATAGTCAATCTCTTTGCAATTAGTCAAAACTACAACTTCTTTATGATGCCTAACTGGGATGCAATTGTCTTACACACATCTGGGAAAACTCTTTTTGTCTTCTATGTAGTCAGCCTTTCTCTCCCAACTGCCAATGGGGGGGGGGGGTAGGGAACAAACATCTCTTACCTGTAAAGTATTTTGATCACAACTGTGTGCTAATGTTTCCCTTTTCCCTTTTCAATAAATGCCTTTGCCATTCATCAAAATTACTCAAAAAATATTTTTCCATAGATTCATCCCAACTCTTCATCATTAAAAAAAGATTCTAGAAAACCCAAATCCAAACCACTATCACAGTTCTTAAAAGTAAGGATGCAACATGCTACTGGAGTGATATAATTTTGCCAATTCAAATGAAACTTATTTGCCTTTTTTTAAAAAAAACTTTAAAATTCCAATTTGCAATTGTGGATTGCAAAGAGACATGTCCAACCACTTTCCCCTTATTCTTCATCTATTATTACATAAAATAGATCAATACGTCTATATTCAAGAGATTCAATAGATATTTCAGCCTCCAATATATAAGGATTTGCCATCTTTACTTCAGCCATAGTCAGATTCATTTCAAATGGATTATTTCTATAAAATGTTGTAGCAGCTTTCTTTAATCTGCATTAGAGTATATTTCTCACTATCTCAGGACAATATCAGTTTTTTTCTGGAGAAATATCCATCACACTAGGGGGGGAGGTGTAATCCCATTCCTATAGATTGCCAGCATTTTGCAGAGATAAACATATGAATAATGTTGTTGAATACATTATTTCTCAATGAAGCCTAAACCTGTTAAATGTAGTTTGCATCTCCAATGTACTGACATGATGAGAATCAATAATACCTTTGCCAATATGCCGCCTAGTATTCTCAATAGTAGAATTCCGGTTAACATTTGACAAGAGCCCCAGGCAAAACCTGTTCTTGTTATTTGAGGGATCAGTGAAGCCATCCACCAACAAACTTGTGGAAGAGGCATGAAATGCCTCTCCAACACGATTATTGAGTTCGTAATAGACAATAGAGCACCAGTGTTTTGGCTCTTCATAAGCAACTGCCTGAACATCTGCAACAGAAGAAAAACAGAAATAAGCAATGCTAGAATTAATGAGTTCCTGAGCTTTAAAGTTTAATTTATTTATATTCATTGTGTAGACTTTGGCTTAAGATCATGGGGAAAAAAATCTGGTGGTATAGTTTCTAATTAGAAATTCTCCCACAGTGTCCCATTATATGATATATTTAAACCATATTAGTAATTCAGTCAAAGCATTCAAAGCTGAGAAATGGAAAGGGGGTGGAGCAGATATTTGAACAAGCCATATGAAGATTTCTTTTTTTAAAAAAGAACAGTTCCTCTAAGCAGCTTTGCATGTTGACTTACAAAAATAAAGGGTGCATAGTTCTTAAAGACAACAAATACATTATGGTGTAATTTCTTATGGAACAGACAGTAATTAAGTTCTCTTCCTAAGAATTTATTAAGTCTTTAGAATGCTACCAAATTTAGTCTACTATAACAAAGTGAACACATAATTATATCTCATTACAGTTCCTATAATAATTACAGTTCCTTAGGTTTGGTTTAACCTGGTTTATTGAATAACCTTTAATGACTGTTCATACAATACAGTAAGTTATAAACATTGTTTTATAAACCACAAGAGCTAAGTGTATACAGAACCCAAACCTGTGTAGTCTTTGGTGATCCCTGAGTTTGGTTGTTTGCTTGCAGATATTTCATTATCCAACTAAGGCAAACACTGCTATATCTAAACAAGGCAAACCCCACACTCATTTGCACTGATGTGAAATGGTCATATAATGAAATGTCTGAAGCAAACAACCAAGCTCAGAGAGCACCAAGGATTTCTTAGTTCATTCCTGAGCTACATATATTCTTTTCTTTTGTTTAGACTCCAAATCCAACCCATGTTATGGGTTAGTGCAATATATAAACCTTGTAAATTATTTTTAACAAAATATAATGGAGATGTATTTTTGGAATGTTTATTTAAGACATGCATTTATTAATCTTTTCCTTTTTTACAAATTTAAACTAAGGAAGAATTCTAGTCAACAATAACCATTCCTTCCTCTCAGCAACCAGAACTGCCTCTAGGGGAAAAGAAACACCCTGTCTCCCCTATTCAACAAGAGAATATATTCATGCAGCTACAGGACCTGCTGCTACAAATACTCAAACATCTTAACAAAGTGTAATGAAACTGAAAGGAGAACATAGAATTTCAAGGTCCATTTTTGGGTACACTCATATAAGAATAAATCCACTCATTCTGCACTAATTTTTCAGGTTGTGTTTAAGATTTATGCAGCCAATTTGTTTTTAATAAATTTTTAATTTACAATCTCATTAAAGTGTTAAGAGGGAAAAGTGCTGCTTTGTAATCAATAGCAACAATAACCTCTTCCTGACTCACTGAACTACAAATTTAAGAAAGATGTTTTTGCTTTTACTGGCTAAAGAAACTGATTGCTTCCAGGAACTCTTGCCTTCCTTTTTGATAATTATCTTACTCAGAGTAATTCAAATGTATATAGATGATACTGTCTGTTTACACAATGTTATTTTTATCCAGGCTGCTTGAGGCAACATACATGGGCTTCCTTGCATTTTATGATCATACCCATCCTATCAGGTAGATTCAGAATAAAAACATTGGAGTTGTTCATCATTACTCAGTGACATTAATGAGCAATCTGGGGTTTTCACTTTCTCCCCCCATATTTATTTCACACATCACAACTGCTTGCACAATATGTAAACCCAGACAATTTTTTGGGTATAGGTAAGAATTTACCAATATGTGATTCAAGATAAAAAAGAGTTCCCAATATGGTTTTCACAAATGAAATTGAACAGCTGGGTTCAAATATTGTGCTAAGCCATGGTTCATTTAAAAATGGTTTATTGAATAAACTACAGATGGCTGGGGTAGCACAACATGTTAAGGATAGGCCAACTGCTGATGCAAACAATTCACCGCATTTTTAATCCTTTCAAGTCACTGTTAGGCAATCTTTAATTATTAGTAACTCAGTGCACTTTTCACAGCAAGATGCCAGTAACTATTACTGCTGCACAGCTTTGCCCTAGTTCTCAAACTCAGGAAGAAATCCTGCCAGCTGGCCATTCCTGAAGAGTGAAATCATCTCTCTCTCTCTCTCTCTCTCTCTCTCTCTCTCACACACACACACACACACAGAGGCAGATTTCATAGGAACTTCCTCACATTTGCCTTAAGTCATGCAGAGCAGGTGTGTTTTGTCTCTCCATTCCCAGCGTGAGCCAACAATAGGAATTACCCAACTTCATTGACAGGATGCAGCTTGTTAAGTAAAATCTCTTAAGACTAACAAATCTTCACAAGGAGCAGGCCTCCAAATCTCTGTAGCCAGAGAGCACTGGGGTTTGCGTTTATTGCTAGTGCCCTTCATAAACATGAACTGCAGCAGACCTTTTTGAAAGGCTATTAAACAAAGGATGTAACCATGCACATCAGGTAGAGGTCTGGGGCAGAGATAAGAGCTCACTGAATTAGCGGAAACAGGTGTGGAATAAATAATATGAATGGAAAAAAGAGTCTGTTTCCCCTTCACAAAATGAAGGGAAGAATACTCTAATTACAGTATTTTAATTACTAATATTACTAGTAGGAATCAGGTTGTCAACTTTACTCTTTCTGCATTCACCTCATTCGCTCCCTGCCAAACAATATAATCCAAGATTAACAGGAAGAAAGAAATTGAAGCTTAATCTAATACCAATTCTAGCAAATTTATAAGACTCGCCTGAAACTGGTGTAATTGGGGTTTAGCTGACATCCAATTCAATACAACACAACCCTGGTGGCCGATGTACTGCCAGTCCCCAAATTAATGTCTGACTTAAGGACAACCACTAGGGCTTATCCTTAAGGATACAAACAAGCTTACTATTACTAACAAAGGTGGATGACATTCTCTTCCTCAAGTTCACAAAGCACTGAAGCTGCACAGTATTTCCAGAACTGTTGAAGGCAAATATTGTTAAGCTATAGCCTGTTTTCAGCAATTTTCATTGGTTCTTAAAAACATTGCGCTGCTACAGTGATTTCATCTGCTGGAGGAAGGACAATACCATTTGCCATTTTTAGTAATAGCCTGTTTGCCTGTATACGTTCCAACTTAAAATACAAATTTGGGTTAAGGCAGAGTTAGGGAATGGAACTAGTTATTAACCCATGGACTGCCTGTAATGTGATCATATTCTTAAGTTCAAAGTCAATTCAATTAGATGCCAAATGGATCATTGGGTATGTGCACTTGTCTCTTTCCCTCACATAACTAATTTGTGGCAACTCATACCATAACCCTTAAAAACTCAATCAAAACTCTTAGTTTACATGGATAGAGGAAGGGGACAGTCCTAGGGAATGAAAATATTTTAGGGTTGAGATATTTTATAAAAATTTTGTATTTTATAATTTATAAAAAATTAAAAATATGCAGAAAATCATAGTTAAAGCAAAACACTGGTAAATTTGTCTTTTTTCAGCTACAAGGGCTACTTACAATAAACAGATCAGCAAAAACTCAAGTGTTTACATTTATCTACTAAAAGCTTGCTTTAAAGCAGAATAACATGAAGAAATTGTTGCTTACTCTTATCCTTCAAAAACTTTTCAGTTGCTTACTAGGCTTAATAGCAGCCAAGTTATCCAGGTGGTTGCATATCTGGTCCCAACAGCTTGACAGGGCATATTGTGACTGAACTATCTCCAAGTATAGCAAAATGTGTGAACATATATTGAATGCTAGTGCTCAATTAAATGCAACTTTGTCTGCTGTACCATTTTTCACAAGTCTTAACATAAGCATCTTATCATATCCACTGCTGTTTTTAAGTGCAGCACTTAGAGTTGATGCATGTCATTTTTATTCTGCCTTCTTCTTTAGCAGGAACTTAAGACAATACAATGAAAATATAAAACAGGAAGTAAAAGTGCCATACACATATACAAACATTTTTCATAATTGAAATATGAAGTGTCACCTCCTCTGTTTATTTCTGAAGGAATTGAAGGTGCCATCATATTGGTATCCATTGGTTGTGAACCATCCTGGGTCATCTGATCTTCTGGAGGTAGATAAGCAGGAGGGGGAGTATCAGCTAAGGTAAAACAAAATATTGTTATTTAATCTTTGTACCTATCCATTTTATGGACAGTGCTAAGCCAAACTACAATGTACTTATAATAATAGAAGAAAACCATCCATTTTTTACTCATCTCTGTTAACATGGCTAACACAGAAATTATTACTCTTTGATTAATTATACTTAAGTTTACTTTTCCTTGAAGGAATTAGGTTTGGGAAAGTTCTGAAGCAAACAGATCAAATCTCTATATGTGAAAAAGAAGTGCTGACGATTTGCATACAGGTCATCTTTTCCAATATATTTATTAGTAGACAGGTGCTACATCCTAGTGCACAACAACAAACATTTAAAGCACAACTTATTGATGATGGCATTAAAATTTAATAATCAATGGAGGCAAAGCATCAATGTAAGACTTACTTTTAGTATTACTGATTTGCAGCCATAGGTGATTATCTCTATATTATTTTTATGCTAACATTGTCCTGATGTTTATTTATAACATTCTCTTAATCCAAAGGTATGCTATTGTCAACTGAACTCATCCTTAGGTTTCAACACCCAAAATGTAGAAAAAATTTTATAGGAACTAAGCATTTATTTAGTGGGGGAACTGGGAGGTTGCCATTCTGCCATCTTAAAAAGTTTACCTAACTTTTCTAAAAAGAACACCCTTTGCTATTAAGGTGGCTAAATAAAATTACATCTTTTTCTGAAATAATGAAGATCATGCTATAGTGCATATATTATAGCATTATTTAGTAACTACTGCCTTCTTCTAGTTGCTCAAATCCAGTTTCTGGAGATTCCATGGCTAAATCACAGAATAGAGGAAGCAGCTAAGTAGGGTTTTTTTTTCATAAATTCAACTGGGAATAAAAATGTAACTCCATAAAAAAATTCTGACTTGAACAATCATTTAAAACTTACTATAAAGATGTATGTTATTTAGGAATGATCACATTCCTTCCAAAAACGTAAACTTTATTCGTCTTATTGATGATTTACCTTCAAACAGCTGGTTGGCTTAGAACACATTAATGCCTCACGATCTTGGGAGACATATTCTCAACTTTAATTAAGCACAAATAGCTTGGTGATATTCAGTAACTGCTAACATACTACGTCATCCTATATCAGTGATGGCGAACGTTTTAGAGACCAAGTGCCCAAACTGCAACCCAAAACCCACTTATGCATTGTCGGATGCCGGGTGGGTGTAGCCCATTGGCTGGGTGTGGCCCATTGGCTGGGTGTGGCTGCAGTGGTAACAGCAGACTGGGTGGGACTAAAAAGTTCAATCAATTCCAACTTTGCGAGAAGTTGAAATTGACTGATTGATTGAACTTTTTTTTTTTTGTACACAGCAGCGGAGGCCTAAAGCGAAAAGGTTTTATAAAACCCAGCTGAAGGCCTAGGACTGGGGCAACGGTGCGCGTGCCCACAGAGAGGGCTCTGAGTGCCGCCTCTGGCACCCGTGCCATAGGTTCGCCACTACTGTCCTATATCCTCTCATGAATGAGGGAAAACCATCTATATGCTTTATGTAAGCAAGCTATATATATTTTATAGTTATTCTGAGACTTGATGAAGCCTCGATAATATTAAGGAAAACTGAGGTAAGAAAGAAAAAATAAACAAGTCTGTCTTGGCCTAGAGAGGATGGTGGCCTGAACAAAGCAAGGCCAAAATTATCTTTTTTTTTTTTCAATATAAAATTTTATTGTTTTTATCATAAAAGAAAAAAGAAATACATCACAGGTATTACACAATGATTTATCCCATCCCCCCACCCCCCGGACTTCCCAAACCAAACCTAGGCTAATATTCAAATACAAGTAAACAAATATTAATATCTCTAACTCCAAACTCTAAACTTAAACAATCCATCTNCGGATGGTAGATATGTGTTTATTGAACTAGTTTTGAATGACAGAAGATGTCTTATTATTGGATTATATGGTCCAAATCAACAACAGAAACAGTTTTATAAGTTGATACATCAAAAAATAAATCAATTGGATTACAAATCAGTTATTATGATGGGGGATTGGAATGGAGTGTTAGACTCTAGTAAAGATAAGAAAGGTTCTTTTAAAGCTTCAAGTTATTCTATATTGCCTAAAACTTTTTTTGATTTGAAGGATGATCTGGAATTAAGAGACATTTGGAGAGAACGAAACATAGAAGAAAGAGGCTTTACTTTTTTCTCGGACAGACATCAATCTCATTCTAGAATTGATTTTTTTTTAATAACAAATGATTTCTTTTCTAGGGTGAAGAATATTAAGATTTTTCCTAGAACATTATCAGATCATAGTCTGGTATGGATGGAATTATGGGTTGGAGATGGGAGTAAAAAGGACTTGGAGATTAAATGAAAATTTATTTAGATATGAGGGAAATGTGCAAAAATGTAAAGATCAAATGAAAGAATTTTTTTTATTGAATATGTATAAAGACACCTCGATCTCAATGGTTTGGGATGCAAGTAAAGCATATATGAGAGGTGCCCTGATTCATATGAATAATGTTTATAGGCGTAAACAAATGCAAAAACATAATCAGTTAGAAAAGGAAATTAAATTAAAAGAAAAGGCCTTTATTTTGAATCCACTGGACAATAATTTAAAAGTTTCTATAGCTTTGCTCAGGGAGAAATTCAATATGTTGATGGTGGATCAGACTGCAATTAATTTGCGTTATATGAAATATAATACATTTTGTAATGCAAATAAACCTGGTAGATGGTTGGCTTACCAACTACGAAAGAAGCAGAAATCAAGAGTTATAGAAAAAATAGATTATAAAGGAAAAATGACATATCAACAAAAATTAATTAAAAGAAGTTTTTTGGATTTTTACTCAAAATTATATGCTTCTGAAGATATAAAGTCTTCAGAAATAGAGAATTACCTACAACATTCACATTTTCCTAGATTATTGAATTGTCAGAGGGAAAAAATGAATTGTTTAATAACTTCTGATGAAATTAAAGGGGCAATTAAGCAGCTAAAAGTTGGTAAAGCCCCAGGCACAGATGGATTAACAGCAATTTATTACAAGATGTTATCTGATGAAATGTTAGAACCATTAAAGGAATTGTTTAACAGTATTTTACAGGGTGCAGAAGTACCTCCATCTTGGAGAACTGCTTTTATATCACTGATTCCAAAAGAGGGTCAGGACTTAAATCAACCCAAGAATTATAGACCTATATCTTTATTGAATACAGATTATAAAATATTTTCTAAAATATTGGCAAATAGATTAATGCAAGTGTTGAGGCAATTGATTCATAGTGATCAATCTGGATTTATAACTGGAAGATATATGAAATATAATGTAAGACAAATTGTCAACTTAATTGAGTATTTGGATAAGAATAACCAGATCCCTGTGGCTTTCATATTTTTAGATGCTGAAAAAGCATTTGATCAATTAGATTGGGGGGTTCCTACTACGAGTTGTAGAGAAAATGAATTTTGGGGAAAAATTTTTGTTTGCTCTTAAGTCTATTTATCAACAACAATCAGCACAGACCATAGTTAATGGAGGTTTAACAGATGCATTTAAAATTGAAAAGGGTACAAGACAAGGATGACCGTTATCTCCATTGTTATTTGTGTTAACAATGGAGATTTTATTAATTAAAATTCGTGAATCACCTATAATAAAAGGAATAAAAGTGAATAAGAATGACTATAGGTTAAGAGCTTTTGCTGATGATCTGGTGCTGACATTAACTCAGCCAATAGACTCGATGACTGACTTGGTAGAAATTATTGCTCAATATGGGAACGTTTCTGGTTTTAAGGTAAATAATAAAAAGACTAAAATACTATCGAAAAACATGTCTATGAAGGATAAAGATGACTTAGTTAAATTGACAGGTTTTGAAATAGTAAAAAAGGTAAAATATTTGGGAGTTTATATTACAGTGTCTGTTAAATTGTATAAAAATAATTATGAGACTTAGTTTGCCTAATAGTTTCCACATTTAGTCCCAGTATAGATTCACAATTAAATTGCTCTGACTCTTCAAATTGTATATCTTGATATATAAAAGCCTGTTCAGGGTTACTCAATCTCTCTTCTATTATTCCTTGTTCCACAATTTTGTTCATTTTTGAAAAGTCAATGTAAGGTTCTAATATAGCCTCTTCAGGGTATAGATAAGTTTCATCATCTACCACCGGATCCACTTGTTCAATCAAATCTTGAGAAGCAGTTGTAACATTCAAGCAAAAATCCTCCTGTTTCTGTGGTAAACCTCGCCTTTGTAATAAATCCTGTTGTTGTTGCATCACTTGATCACATCNCGCCTACATCGTCCATATAGGACGACTCGGGAACTCAACTCCTACCCCGGGCAGCTCACCTATCCCCTTATGCCCAGGGGAAAGGTATCAAGCCGTTTGACAGCTGATGCTGGCTGTCAAACCGGCTTTTACGCAAAACAGGCGGGAGGCAGCAAACAGCTGCGACCAGCGAAATCGCCTGCCACCGGAAGTCCCCAAGGCCAAAATTATCTTATTAGGACGAATATCCAAATCCTTTCTAGTTTTCCTTCTGGAACATGAGGGATATATCCACTTAAGTATGCTTTAGTTCCACTGCAGAAAAATGATGCAGCTACTAGAAAGCACATTTTATCAAAATTTCTGGGAATATTTTATTGGCTTAACAAATGCACTAAACCCACTGGAACATCATCCTTCGTATTTCCCCTCTTTGCCTCCCGCTGGTCAATGTGTTGTCCCAAAACCATTGTCAATGCTAAGAAGCTGCTACTGAGGTTTCTCAGAGGAAGCTTACCTGGCATCTGAAAAGGGCTTCCTGGGTCAGAGCTGGCAGGTGAATGAGGGTAGGTACCACTGCTGCTTCCAGGCGAATTTGGATAGCTACTGTTTGGTGAATGGGGGAATGGATGACTGTTGGGTTGCTGGAAAGAGTCTGGAAAAGTAGCATTATGTGGCATATGAGGCTCGTTTTGTCCCAAGTTGCGAAATTGAGCCAGGAGACTGTGCTGAGGGTTGTATTCACTGTGTCTAGGAACAAGCACAGGAGGAAGAACTGAAAAGGAAAGAGAAAGGGAAGCTTGAAAACAAATACTGTACACAATGATAGCTGTACAATCATTTCAGTTCCAGTTAATGAAGGAGTCATACTTTAGGAACAGGTCTAAGGAGCAGGTCTAAGCAAAAATATTTCCTTGTGTCTAGCTACTACATAACTTACATTTTTGCTGGATGCACCAACTGCAGAATCCCACAGCTGGAAGTTTAGTTTTCACAGCAACTGGGAGAAAAGTGGTTAGGTTTGCAGGCAGAATAGTGAAGTTGCACTGGGACAGTCTTTAATTTATGCAAAGTATTGGGTACTGGCATCCTTCTGGATTAAATCTAGAATAGTTCAGGTTTAGGTTTATTCCATTATACATGACTTATATCCCACTTTTCCTCTTTTTCAGTTAACATACATAGTCCTGCCTTCTCCATTTTTTAAAATATATTTTATTATTTTTTTTAACATAATCACTATCAATATTTGGTAAACAGTGTGTTGTCCGGGTTTATATTTACAATCAATCAATAACAATTAGTTTCTATAATTCCATACTCTACATAGTAACTTTCCTTCATTTTCTCTTTTTCCAATAATATTCTCTTTTATTAGTATTTTAGTAGATAACAATTGAATATAAACATTTTTCTAGTATTTCTACAAGTAACAACCACATCAATATGAAGCTTCTTTTCTAATTAATCATCTTAATCACCTTCTCATAGATACTGTTAGTAAAGTTCTTATTTAAATTTATTTTCCCCAATGTTCAAAAACATTTCTACCTGTTAAGATTTTCTTAGAGTTAATTACACTTAAATATTTAAGTCTTTTTCCTCATACAAGCCATCCCAACAGTTTTACATTTCTCGTAACTTAAAACAAAAACAAAAAGAGAAGAAAAAAAAGAAGGAAATAATATACTACTTGAAAAACTTGTCTCTCTTAAGCTAAAATACATTTATGTCCCCAAAAAATTATATTCTTTTTAAACATATTCAAATCAATATTTAATCTTTAAGTATTCTGTCTAATAAATCCGCAGCTAATCTTTTCAAAACATTCTTATTAATTGAAAGATTGATGAGAGTATATGTGTTTCCTGAGGCCCAGTAATACTACATCATAGTGAAACAGTCAGATTTTCCCACTTCTGTAATGTTTAAGCAAAGGCATGCAAAACATTTCAAGTCATGTGATTTTATCAAATTTCTACAAAAGCTGGATCTGCAGAGTGCTTCTTTCTACAAAAGCTAGATGAAAATCTGCAGCCACTTCTTTTGGTTTTCTAATCAGATTTTCCAGGGGCAAAAGACACTGGATTCTCCATATAAACTACAAAGGGCAGAAAGAAGGGAAAGCATCCCTTCTAGCATACGTTTCCCATAACAGCTCATGCACTTAATGCCACTAATTTAGGCTCGATTATTATGCTGGGAAGCATCATGTTTTCCCTTCATAAAAAACTAAATTACAAAGATTTGGGTAAGACCACTTAAAATCTCCATAAGCTATGCAATCAGAAGAATTAATAAATGGAAAGAGAAGTTCAGGCCTAAAATAGGCATGCAATTTAATATGGCCAGGCCTAAGGGATTGTCATGGATGCCATTATGGCATCTTTGAAGGAAAGTACAGTTTCTACATACACATGCTCTAATGAACCATTTCATAAGCTACGCTAGACTTTAATATAATTTCTCTGAATTTGGCTGAACATTACGAGTGACCCCAACCATGTGTGAATCCAACCATTTGTTAAGTCATTGCTTGTGGCTTAATATGTTATGTATACCCCATCAATTGTGGTTTGTAAAATAAACCAGAAATGTTGCTTGAACTAGATCAGTGATGGTAACCGTATTCAGAAAAATACATATTTTTAAATTGTAAAGCTTGATCAGGTTCAGAATCTTCACTGTAAAAAATAAAGGGCTAAAAATGTACATAACGGGGGAGAATGCTGATTTTCAGAAATTGCTGGCAGCCCAGGGGAAGAGATATAATTGAAGAGACAGCATGAGACTTCTGCTGTATTCAGCCAAGCACACCTGTTGCCACAAAGCAAACAAGAGGCCCACATCTGCTCTTTAGAGAGGCTGTGAGCCCCTGGAGGGTAAAGCTGTAGAGGTGTTAACTCTTGCCTAGACTGAAGCAAATGCTCTATTGCACTGTATAAAAAACTATTATTTCTCGGACCTAAGCATCCTTCTGGAGCTCTGTGTTTTCCAAATTTGAACTTCCAAAATTCTCAACTGGTGGGTATGGAAGCCAGGACTTTAAAAAATTCTTTCCAATGGAACTGAAGGACACTAGATTATGGATTATGGATCTTGAAGGACCATGACAAGAGACAGATATTAATGTCCCTGACCATCAAATCACCTTTCAACTGTCTGAAACAAAAGCCAAATCCAATGTACTGTGTTTTACCTAGCATGATATGCAAAAAACAAACATTATGATTTAGTGTTATGTGTAAATCAGGTTATATTTTGTCCAAGAAATCATAGTTTAAAAATAAGCCCCAACTGACTGACTTCATATAATATATGAAATCATACCAAAAACCTATATATGTTATTTAGTATGATGAGAAAATTCACCCTTGGATTTGGTTCAAACGCCACATCTACTGTAATAGTTATTCCAGTGGCAAAATTAATACTGATGTTATAACTGAAAAAACTGGTTTTAAACATTTTAGAAGGATTAATTCAGGAATTCAGCAACAATTATCAGAATAACATTACATCATGCAAACAAAAATTGTTATGGATGCTGCAAAGTTGAAAAGGCAGCTTTTAATATTATAAACTGTAAAACTATTTGAAGGGCCATCAGATAGCGTATATCACAAGAGGAAAATCCATTTGAAACTTGTTTTAATTAATTATTACAGTAGACTATCAAAGCTATAACAGCAAATGAAAAACATTGATTTAATAAATTTTAAAAACCCTGGATACCAAAGACAGACACATTCAGAACAAAGGATTTCCCACAAGTCTTTACTTGTGCAAATCACATCAAGAAGGAATATTTACTCATATTTAGATAATCGCCAGCTAAGATCTTCTGGAAAGTCTGGAATTCCTACCTAAAATTCAAAAGAAGTGGTATCTTACACACTCTGACATTATCAGATTCAATAGATCAATAGTTTACCTAATACAGGACACCTTCCTCTATTATTATGTAATATAATGGTATTCTGAAGACATCTAAATAAAGACCCTTAATTCTGTATTCTTTTTCTTTAAATTGCTTCTTCTTCCAAACTTTTACATTTGGGTGAGAAATTTGCTTTTTTTAAAAAAAATAGTCTGCTTGTTTTTCCCTCAGCAATGTTTCATTCTAATTGTGTAAAGGCACGAGTTTGGAAAATGCTATCATAGTTATTAATATACATAAGAAAAACAGATGCCTCTGTCTTCAAGTTATAGCTTACCTCATAGGGCTATTGCTGAGAAATAATAAAAAAGAGGAAGTGCTATATATTCTACACTGAACTCCTGAATGAAAAATGAGGTATAACTATTAAATAAACTATTAATTAATTAATTATTATACTTTAATTAATTAATTAATTGATTGATTGATTGATTGATTGATTAATTAATTAAAGTACATATTAGTCAAGGTTTATAAAATTCCAAGTCAACAGTCACACGGATTTTAAAACCACTACTACCATGATTAGCTCTTTGCTCAGATGGGTTTTGGTTAGAAAAAAATCTGTTCAATCCCAAAATTCTCAGACCTCTTTTTAAAAATGCACTATTCTTTTAAGCAAGGGTCCCCAACCCCTAGTCCGTGAACTGGCACTGGGCCGCGGCATGCCAGAAAACCGAAGTCCGAAGTCCCATCCGTAGGATTCAGGCAGCATGCGAAACCACACTCCCTCCGGTCCGTGGAAAAACCTCTCTCCACGGAACCGGTCCCAGGTGCCCAAAAGGTTGGGGGCCACTGCTCTGAGGTAAGAAAAGTTGCCCTCTGATGTGGAAAGACAGTTAATATATATCACTTGACACTTGGTTCCTTTGCTTGCACAACATGCAAAGATTCAAATAATTTATGAAGCACTTAAATCGCTGGGGTTTTCAATATCATCAAATTGCTAAGGTAATTCAGAAATGATGTCTGAATCCAATTAATATGAAACATTGCATAAAGTTTCACACATTACTCAATTCACCAAATTGAGTAAACTGCTCATTACTTCCACGTGCAATATAACCTTAGTACCAAAAGGATGTGTTTCAAATAATCTATGTCTTAGAAATGCAGCCAGTGGAGATTTTTACCAAAGTCCTTTTCCGATTATAACCCGCTAAATTTAGTTTATGAAAAGAAATTTACTTGTTTTAATGGAGATTAAATGAAACATTGTTACATAGAGAAGCAATAGTGGAGGACTATTAAGAAAAATAGTACTTTTTAAAAGCAACATAAAGGCACTGATTTCAAAATGGGTTTTGGATGCAAGTAAAGACGTTATTAGAGATTATTTCATACAACATAATATTAAACTTAAAAAGAAAGGACATGTGAAAACAGGCTATTTTGGATGAGATAAAAAGAAAAACTAAAGAAATCATCAGAGAGGGTAAGTATTTGTCATTAAATTAAACTTTTACAGCAACAGCTTTCCATGTTAACAGTAAGAAAAATGGAAATAAAAAAACCAAGCAACGCAAAAAAAATTGAATTTGCAAACAAACCAGGAAAATGGTTAGTGTATAAATTGAGAAAAGGAAAATGATATTGAAACTTCAAGAGAAAGACATTAATGGATAATGCGGCTATATAAAAAATATTTTATCAGTAACATTACAACTTGTATAAAGGAAATGACGTTTCTTTGGAGAAAATAAATATTTAAAAATACAAAAACTACCAAGGATTACAGGCAAACAGAGGTTATGAATGGACCTATAATAAGGGAATTTTCAGAAAATCAAACCAGGAAAAGTACCAGATGGATTATCAGGTTTTTATTATAAATA